CGGCACTCGGTGGCATCCCCTGCCCTGCTCCACATGGAGCAGCAGCCTCGGGGAGCGGGGCGGGATCGGCTGMTTGCAGGGAGCGATTGATCCGGAAAAATGTCCCCTCCGTCGGGCTGCAGTTGCCAGGGTGACCTCAGCACTATGGGCTCCGGGCGCCTGCGCTGCCCCGATGGCACCCAGCACGCGGGGCTGGCGAGGCCGCCCAGCCCGTGCCGGCCCCTTCCGCGCTCCGGAGGCTGCGGGAAGCGGGAGCGAGGCTGTGGCGGGTTGCTGGCCTTGCTAGTGCCTTCCGGGTGAGGATGGCGGTGACGGGCGCAGGAGGGCAACTGCGCGGGGGAAACCACGGGTTGGGGTGTCGGGGCTTTGGGGAGGAGGAATTTCCCCTTTCCAAAATGATCCTGTGGGTGGTGGCGCCCTAGTCCGGGCCTTGCTCCCACATCCACCCATCCCGTCGAGGATCCTACGGGATGTAGGGCCTGGCGTCCTGCCAACTCTTATGCCAGGTGTTTACCCATCCGTCCCGTCCCGTGTCCCGTGCAGGGGTGAGTGTAACTCGGAGCGCTGGAAAAGCCAGCGGGGCGGCCTGAGTCACCGCGGCGGGCGGAGCCGGCCCCGCGCCGCCCAGGGCTCCCTCCTGCTCTTGATTGCAATGAGCAATTAATCGGGCAACCACGGACACAGGACACAGGACCGTGCCGTCCGGCCAGCTGCAGGACGGCATCTCCGGCGGCACAATGAGGAACTGGGGTGCCGGAGGGGGCACCCACTAAACAGCACCCACAGGTATCGGTGTGACGAGTTTGCACCGTGCTCAGCGGGGCACAGAGGGCGGCTCCGAACCCGCTCGCTGCCCAGGCGCGGGGGCGGGAGCCTTGGACAGGTCCSGGGAGGCTGAGGTGGGACGTGCCATGTGGCCGTCCCCGTGTCTCCAAGGTGCCAGCGGTGCCGGCGCTCGCGGGGATGCAGGGAGGAGCGCGGCTCCCTCCCACCCTCGCTCCCTCCTGTGCTCAAAAGCAGCAGGTGCCCTCGTCGCCTTCCTCCCTCCTCCTCCTCCAGCTCCTCCCTTGGGACACCCAGGGGACACCCCAGTCCCAACTGGACCCCTGTTCACGAGCGCTGGGTAAGGAGGGCCCTGGCGCCGGTGAGCGGCTCCCCGGGCCCGGCCCTTGTTGCCATCGGGCTAATGAGGCCCGGCGGGGAGGGAGGCCGGGGCAGCCACCCCCATCCCGCTCCGGAGCGGTCGGGCTCCTCTGCCGCCGGGGACGGTGCCGGGGCCGGGACAGAGCCGCTTTCCCGGATGGAGTCGGGGCAGAGCCGCAGCGCGGGAGCAGCCGGGTGGGCCGGGAGCGGGCGGCGACGCGCGGGGGCCGAGGGCTCCCCGAGGGCTCCCCGAGGGAGGCAGCGGCGGCAGCCGAGCGCTCCCGGCCTTGGCTACGGCCCCGGGGCGGCTCCTGGCTCCGAGCCCGCGGCTCCGGCCCTGGTGRGATGGGGACGGTGACGCCAGGCTCAGCCCAGCCCAGGAGAGCCGCCCCCCGCCGTCCAAGTGCGGATTGTAGGGAGCCACTTGGTTKAGGATGTTTGAGATCCGGCTTCAGCTTCCCGGGAATGAGGGGCTCCGACACGGCATGGAATGTGCCCGCCTGGGTGGCACCACCCAGGGCAGGGGATGGAAAGAAATGGGGACCTCTAAGCTGTGACGTGTYCCCCACGGAGCTAGACGGACGGTTTTTGGGGAGGGAACCTTATTTTCCCCCATGCATTGCCAAGCAGCCTTGTCCTGCTCCCACTATGCAGCAGCATTACGGATCCGTCGGGAAGCAGGGGGCCGGGATGGTCACTTCTGTGCTGGATGGACCTGCCGGTTCATCCCAGGCATCCTTAGCTGGAGAGCCAATGGAAAGTGGGATGAGAGCCGATGGACAAGCGGGATGAGGGCCGGGTCGGCCACCAGCAGCTACCGCGGACGGAGTCGGGAGCTGGCGCGGAAAGCAGGAACCGGGCAGGCGATGGGGAAGAGGGTCCCTGTGGTCTCCAGAGGGCCRGCTTCCGTCCTCGGCCACCGCTGGTCCTTCTCTTCCCACGGGAAAACAACCGGGATGCTGTGGGGAAGGCGCGAGCGGGCGCGGGGCTGGCAGGCCCTGGCAGCAGATCAGCCCTTGAGCCCGCCTAACCAAAGGCTTATGTTTTTATTTGTAATTGTCTAGGCAACGAGCGGGGTTTGCAGAGGGCTTCCGTGGAGCCCACGGGGCTGCTGGCACCTCCCTCCTGGCAGATCCCTCCCGCGCTCCGAGACAGTCATTTGACTTCAGGCTTAAGCCTGGGCACAAAGTGTCACCTCCGAGGGGACCCGCAGGCCAAAACAAAGTGTCCCCGTGCCCTTCGGTGAGACTTAGGCCCTTGGATTAACACGGTCTCCGTTTTGCTGGTTTGGAAGCAGTAAGGCCAAGCAAACTTCACAGTGCACATCTCTGGGGGCCTCAGCTTTAATATTAATGTCCTGGAGCGAGAAGCAAAGTTGGAAGACACTGCAAGCAACGGGTCAAGGCTCTGAGTGCACTAATGGGCCTTAATAGCCCTGACCAGCCTCACCTGGAGCCTCTACTCACACCCTCTCCCATGGGCCCAGCTGCTTTATTTAAGCTCAGTTCCTGCACAGGGTCTGTTACATGTGCCTGGCTTATCTTCAGCTTGGTTGTGGGTGCTGTTGGTCTTGCCTCTGAGCTGTGGGATTGGCTTTGAGGCTTGGCCTTGGACCTGCCTTGTCATTAGGGTCTTGGTGATGATGGGCTGTGTCTGACTCCGCTTATGGTTGGTAGACCTGACCCCTGGTCTGACTTGTTCGTTTGGCCTTGGACCTGCCTCATCATCATGAACTTGCTTGGTGCTCTGGGGTGATCCTGGTACCTGGGGGACTGTCCTGCTCATCTTGCTTGGTGGCTCAAGACAGGACCCCCAGCTGGCTGGGCTCCTGCCCTGCTGGCTGTGGTGTCGYGTCTGGCTCCTTGCGCCTTGGGTGGCAACTGCCCTGGCTGCATCCTGACCAATGTGTGCAGCCGGGTAGGGAAGCAATCCCTGCTCTTCCAGCATCCGGGTACTGCACAGGACAGATGGCATTTTGAGCTACGTAGCAGTAGCATCACCCTCCCACTGCAGCTCCTTCTCCTGGGGACACGTTCCTCCTTTTCAGTTATGCTCCAAAATATGTACAAATGGGTCCCGGATGCCCTGAATCCATGGGTGTAAGTTCTGATTTGATCACAAATGTGGTGATCCTTGGTGGCCTACACTGGGTAGAAGCGGTCTGGAGCTATTCTGAAGTAGTTTTGAGTGTGGACATGTAGGTTAGAGTTGAGGTGTTCTCTCGAGGTCAGTGTGCTTACCCAAGTCGGCTTGTTCTTTTGGTTTGAGTTCATCTTTGATCTGGACTGTAAGGGAAGGGTGGGCACTAGGACTTGGAGACCTGGCTGTTCCCGTGGCCAGCAGAGTCTGGGACGAGGCTGACGGCTCTGGCCTGGCTGGGGGMAGCCATGAGTCTCTTGGGGCAACGTTGGGTGTCGGAGCAAATTAACATCAATCAATGCAAGCAGTGTTAGGGAGAGAAGGAGACACTTCAGTGAGAGAGCGGAAAAAGGAAGCAATCAAAGGAGTGGGATAAAAAATAATGGCAGGAACAGACTTCTATGTGGGGTTATTTAATAATAAGGTAATTAATGTTGAACACCTCACCAACTCCTTTCATGTAGGGATCACAAAGCACTTCACAAACATTAATTAATCTTTCCTACCATCCCTGCAGGGAAGGTCACTGAGCTTGAGAGCCAAAGGGAAATCTTGTCGTTGACAAAGGTGTTTGCTTCTCTGGGCATGATGGGTGCTTGGGTGTGATGGCAGGAAGGGGAGGATTTCTCCTCCTTGTCGATGACTTCAGATGATTTCCTGTAGCTTCTAGAGAGATAAAGATCCTTGAGTTGTTATGTGTATCTGGAGATGAGCCTGAAAGATGGGTTGTGTCAGAGCTGTTGTGCAAATGGCCAACATAGTCTCACCTGCGGCCAGGTTGCTCTCCAACACCCTTGAGGACACCAGAAAGGCAGTTCCTCATCTGCATAACCCAAGTACCGGTGTCCATGATAGGCTGGAGTAAATTCAAAGCACCTGTGGGCTGCAAATCTGTAGGTGACCGTCAGCAAAAGCACCAGAGTGAAGCAAGAGATTTTTCCAGCTCTTGGTCTCTTCAGGTTGGAAGTGAACAGCCTTCTGGAAATTTGCTCACACGTCAGCTGGGAAATCAGACTGAAGACCAGTAGAGCTTGAACGGAGGGTTGAGACTATATCTGAGAACCTGCGTGTATGGAAGCTGAGGTGAGTGCTCCGATGCTGTTGTGCCTCAACCACTGAAGAGCTGCCCTAYTCCTGCATGGATATGGAGCTTTTCCATGGCTCCAGAGTAGATTTACTCCTACCAGGAACCAGTCCCCTTCTATTGGACTGATGATAGGATGAGACAGGAGAGAGTTTGACCTTTTTATTCTTTTTTTTTTCCCAATCAATAAAAGTGTAAGAGGAAAGGCAATAAGAAAAGATTCTGATATGAATGGGATGGGGCCAGTTGGTGCCTACAGAGTAATGTATAGTGGGAAGGTCTTTGCAATCCAAATACTCCAAATGTGAGAYTACAATCCATAACAAGGAGGAAATTTTAATATTGGGCCATACAAAAAGCAAAGTTGGTTTTAAGGTACAAGGTGTTCAGCCCGACATCCCCACTTGTGTGACATTTAAATAGTTACTGAGGACTRTGTGTCAGAGTGGAGAGCACAGATTTACATCTCCAGGGTAATAGAAAGATCTAAATTTGTATTCAGAAGAAATGGGTCCCTTCTACCCGAGGTCCTGCCCTGGACTGATGAAGTTGCTGGTAGCAGCGTGTTGACACTGCTCAGYGCTGCAGAAGACTTTGCTGCTCTTTCTTCCTAGGACCTGGTCGTGGTGCCAGCATGGCTGAGCAGCAATCAGCTGCAGGCTGCCTGAATGGAAAGAAGGAGCCCCAAGGTCAGTGTGCAGTGAGTGTTGCTGCTGGTTTTCCTTTCTTTCCTTGTTTTTTCAGATGGTGTGTGGGAAAGCTGGAAGTGGGATGGGGATGTGAGATGAGCAGGAAGTGAGTTCAGGCTGAAATGGTCTGGAAGAATRGGCTATCAGCTGAGCAACGTGATTAGGAGGTGCCAATCTTGGCCATACCTACAGAGTGATAGCAAAAACGAAACTAAGAGAGGAACAATCAGCCTTAAATAATATCAGAGGTTGGCCTGGGTGAGTTGTTCACCAGGCTGATGATGCCATTAGATCAACCCTTGTCCCTCATGATCAGCTCGAGGCTCAGAAGAAAATCATAGAGACCACTATCTACATCTCTAGAAACACAGATTCACAGAATTAATGTTAGGTTAAGGTTGGAAGGGACCTCTAGAGATCATCTAGTCCAACCTCCCTGCAGGGATACCCACAGCATGTGACACAGGGTGGCATCCAGGTGGGTTTGGAAGACCTCCAGAGAAGGAGATTCCCCAGCCTCCCTGGGCAACTTGTAGCTTCCTACCTGTTTTGTCTGTAACCCATCTGTCCCCAAAGACCCCACTCTGTCCTAGTTGTACCAGGATGAGACCAGTAGGCTAGTCTCAAGGGGCAAATGCATTATGGAAAGTGCATCACGCAAGCGGTGGATCACCATGAGCCTGCCAGCAGCATCGTGAGGACGGTCCGTACAGCCTTGGAGGCCGGAGGCTAACGGCGAGGGCCTGGCTAGCGAGAGCTGGGATGTGACTACCCACTTGCTTTTCCAGCGTTCACCTGGGAGGTGAGGGCAAATGACCGAAACTACCACGTGCAGTGCAGGAAGAAATTCGCCTTCTGCCTGACCAGGAAGAAGTATGCGGTGAGTCAACTCATGCCAACCATGTGCCAATCCAGCCCCTGATATGTGGAACTGGTTTGGGGGAGTGACAAGACCGAGACTCCATGGATTGACCTGCAGTAGGATGGAGAGTAACATAAACAATCCAGCGTGAGGAGGAAAGGTCATTCCTTGCTTTGTGAGCCAGGTGCTCTCTGGAGCTCTGAAATGAGTAGAGTTAAATGAAGAGTGCTCTTTAGTCTTACGGTCGAGTCACAAGAAAGTTTGTTCCAAAAAAAATGTTTTTGATTGAACAAAACCTGATTTTTCATCTCAGTTAAATAATGAGCATCTAGCTGGGGATCAGTTAAAAATGAGACAAAATATTTTGTTTCTGAACTTCTAAAACATTTTGAAGTAGTATAACCCTTTGCTCTTATAAATCTTTATCTTATTATTCCGGTAAAAGTTGAAAAGAAGAATTTCTTTTATGCCATGACAAGTTGAAAAGACCTCTTCTGAAAATGCTAGAGTGTTCTAGCATTTTCAAAACAGGTCCTTGATTTTTGTGTGGCTGAACTCTTGCTTTGCGTTTGACCTGCTTTTCTTCTGTAGGACAATGCCATTAAAACAGCCAAGTACAACCTCCTGACCTTCCTGCCACTAAACCTCTACGAGCAGTTGCACCGAATGGCCAATGTCTACTTCCTCTTTGTCATCCTCTTACAGGTGAGATGGGCAACAAGAGAACAGCAAATGCGCTTGAGAGGCTTCCTTCCAGCAACGGAAGCTCATCTAGTGTTCAGAGCAGGGGCCTTTCAGATAGGACACTTGGTTTCCCTCTCCATCTTCTAGAGAACCACCGTGCGATCCTCCACAGGTTACTTCTTTGCCTTTCTAGCTGATTTGTTACAGCCCCCAAACTTGCGACAATATCCACTGGGTCATCTGATTCATCACGAGAAATAATTCTTCCACGTGAAGAACAAAAAATAGGCTCTATGCCTTGCAAGATCAGCTGCAGAGGCTGAGGCTAAGTCGGGTGCAACMCGTAGCCTTTCAGGAGCTTGTGGTAGGACTTTGATGTGCAGCTAAGGAGGTTAGGAGCTCCCTGGGAGAGCCAGGAGACTGTAGACCCTTTAAAGTGTGTAGGGGAACAAGACACGGAAGGAATATTGTTGAAGAGGCACAAAGTTTTTGGTTGCTCTTAAGGTTTGCACAAGAGCAGTAACCTCATGAATTGAAATTATCCCCTGTGGCTAATTGAGCTCACATGTGAAATGCGCTTTCTGGGGTCTTTGTTGTCTGTCATAGGCTCAAATAGTGTCCAAGATACAGGTTTTCAGTAGCGTTCACCACCTTTCAAAAACCCTTTGTGAGGAGTTTAACCAAAATCTAGTTTGGTTATTTAAATGATTGGGTTTGACATAAACTAAGCTCATGGAGGCCACTCCTAAACAGAAATCCTTGCTCCCGGATTCAGGAATCCACACTTAGTTCGTACATCCAGTTTACAAAGAGGCAGAAACTTAACAAGCAGTTCTATATAAACCCAACCCCAGGTTTATCTTAGCAGGGTCCAGCCAGACTAGGGCACTGGCCTAGGAAGAGAGCTGAGAGCGAGGGAATTTGTTCCTCAGGATATGTTGAAAGTTGTGTCCRGTCCCTTGCCCACAACAGTGATTTTAAGATTCCCTTGTCGTTGCATTTCCTTTTCCAGACCTTTCCAGAAATCGCCACCCTGCCCTGGTACAGTCTCTTGCTCCCCTTGAGCTGCCTTCTCGCCATCCGGGGCTTACGAGATCTTATTGATGACATTGTGAGTATGGGCYGGACCTAAAAGTTGTGAGTGCTGGTTATGAGCGCCGAGGGGGAAGGTCAATATGTGGGGAAACTTGTTACAGAGCCTGTGAACTGAAAAGCTGAGAGATGCTCATGGTACTTGAGGTACCATCACCTCTACTATGTCCAAAGCACTTTGTATTTTCCCTTTGAAAGAATGTGACCAGACAAGCCCCTTTGGGGAGTGGAGCTCCATCATGCTGTCATCTTTGGTATCCTGATTAGTGGATGTGCTCCCAGTTTGGTGCCCAGAAACACTTTGGGAGAATTCTGACTGTTCATCAGAAAGCATCTTCAGGTTGCTTCAAAACACAGATCTTGCCTTGGGGCTGAGGACTCCAGAGAACTCCTAGGAGAACCAGGAAGCCTGGCAGGGTCCATCCRTTTCATATGACAGGTTTTTTTTTTGTCCTCTCTTCTGTGCAGGGCCGTCACCAAAGTGACARGAAGATCAACAACAGGCCATGTGAAATTCTGTCTGGGGAGAGGTGAGGATTTGGCAAGACGTATCCACGTTTTCCTGACTCCCTATGGAGAAGTGTGGAATGATGGACTTTGTCTGAAGTGCTGAACAACCTTAAACATAGTAGTTGTGAGATGGGGTTCTGGTGTGACTCTCTCTGACTCTGTGAACTTGTATATCCTCCCCAAATCTATTGCAGAATCTATTGAGAAGATGCAGGCTGGTCCAGAAAATGGATATAGTGTTTGCTCTGTCAGTGCCTGCGTTTCCCCTGCCCTGTGAGGTTAAGACTCATACTGGCTCCTAATTGTGCAGGTTCCGCTGGCAGAAGTGGCGTGACATCCGTGTTGGGGACATTGTCCGTCTGCGCAAGGAAAACTTGGTCCCGGTGAGTCAGGGCCTGGGTGTACACTGGGGATGGCGAGGAAGAGTCTTGGCAAGAAGAGACTCACCGAGGTCTTCTCCATCTCTCTCCCCTTGCCTTCCAAGGCCGACATGCTCTTGCTGTGCAGCTCAGAGCCCAGCAGCTTGTGCTACGTGGAGACCGCAGACATTGATGGGTGAGGAGAGGATCAGAGAGGGGTTATGGCCACGGGGAGAGGAGTGGAGACATCACAGCCAGTGGCCAAAGTCTCTTGGAGACTGGGGCAAAGTCTCTTGCCAGCACTGGGGCATGCTGGCAAGCCCATCAGCCAAAAGGATAACATCTGCCCACCCTCACTGCCTCCATCTCTAGGATTTATTTAATGATAAGTTCTCAAGGTTTTCTCTCTGTATGATGCCTAGCATGAGACTCTTATCTTATTTTTTAGTGGCATTCTCCATCCTATGATAGCAGAGTTAAGAGCTTTTTCACCTCGTGGGGTGGTTTTGGCTGTTATTCCTCCTCTTCCCCATTCTTGTTTACAGGGAAACGAACCTAAAGTTCAGGCAGGCTCTTCTGGTCACCCACCAGGAACTGGTGAGCGAGGAGAGCATGGCTGYGTTTGACGGTGAGTCTCCTGGATGAGCAAGGATGTGGCCTTCTTCCCTGGAATTAAGGCAGTTCAGCCCCAATGTTTGAGGTGTCTGTACTGCTGACCTTGCTCTGTCCTCATCCCTGAAGTGCTCTTGCTCCAACAGGACACTGCACTTATTCCTGCCTGCAAGGCCAGGTTTCTGCTGAAGGTTCTGCTTGGAGGCCCATCCCCAGCTGTGTGCCTCTCTGGTGGCTCCCTCAGGATTGCACATGCTCCCCCTGCCTTGGCTCCCGTCTTTCCTGACGGGATCTAGCCCTTCCTCTTGGGTTGTCTGAGAGGAGCTCCAAGAGTTGAACTTAGCTCCTGAGAAGCTCTTCTCATGTCTCCAGAGGGAAAGATGAGGGAAAGAAGAGGAACCTCCCTGTTTCCTGAAAGCTAAAGCCTACCGGTATCCTCTCTGCCCCAGGGAAAGTGATCTGCGAGGAGCCCAACAGCCGGATGCACAGCTTCACCGGCACGCTGGAGTGGAAGGGCGAGACCTACTCGCTGGACTGCGAGAGGCTCTTGCTGAGGGGCTGCAAGATACGCAACACGGAYGTTTGCTATGGCTTGGTTATCTATGCAGGTGAGTGCCCAGGCTCTGCTCTGCCTCTGGGCYAAGATCTGTGTGTTTCCTTCCTTCTCTGATCAAGGGGGGGGTGGTCTGAAGTCTTCAGAGATGAGGAATAGTGGTTGTGCAGGAAACAGCATCACTTTGCTGCAAGTCAGACTTTTGAGGGCTTCAAACATGCATATTCACTTCTGGAATTATTATTTTCCAGGATTTGATTCCAAAATTATGAGGAATTGTGGAAAAATCAAGCGGAAGAAAACCAAACTGAACCACATGATGGACAGACTGGTGATCATAGTGAGTGTGCTGCAAACACATCCCAACCAAGTCCACCAGCCTTCTGGAACTGCTCCACATTCTCTCACAAAATGCTGGATTTTGTTTTAATTAGAACCTGAAATGTTCTCTTTAAAATATCTCAATTTTAGTGTGTTGTGAATAACTACCAAATAATGTTCCCAGGAAGAGGCATTTGATGGGTCTAGTACAATCCGTTCTGTAATTGCATTCCTTAAACTCTAGAGCCCAGGACCTAGAATCCTAGGCTGCTCCTAGAGTCACTTCTGAATCCTTGGCTGGATAGTGGTCTGTTTAGGAAGCTGGTCCCAAAACTAGAGGTTTGGAGTATTCTGAACCCCAAGACAGACTGTTTTGTGGCAGGATGACATTGCTGACTTTGGAGCTTGCCAAGCAGGGGATACCTTGGCCCTCTGGGGCCTAGAGGGTTAAAGTGTCTGCAACACTATTGAATGGTCAGGAGCCTGGTCCTAGGGAAGAATTTGGTGGATTCTCTATGATGTGACTTTCTCATCCTGCCCTTTCATCTCAGATCTTCCTGATGCTGTTGGCCATTTCATTGTGCCTCGCCATTGCTTCCGGATTCTGGGCCAGGAGCTTCCAGGAGAAGCACAGCTACCTCTCCGCTCTCTACGAGCACACGACTCCTGCCAAGCAGGCCTTCTTCAACTTCTGGGGCTTCACAATTCTCCTGAGCGTCATTATACCCATGTCCTTGTATATAATGTAAGAACAGAGCTCGCAGAAGTACAGAAACAAGTGCTGTCCTCGCTGATCTTGACCATCAGTTGGTCTGCAGCTGTGAGGATGGGTGTGCTTCTGGCAGACATTAATATCATGCCCTGAGAGCTTGGGGAAAAAAAGGAAAAAACAAAAAAAGGAAATAAAACCAGAAAACTGATACAAGGACATTTGCTGACATTGGGAATTGGACTGGGAATGACAAATTGAGGGGAGTATTTCCCCTCTGTGTAACAGTAGGGAAGGGAAGAGCAGAGTTCTCACATTCAAGGTGGGAAGATCCTTTCAGCCCTTTCTGGGATAGATCCCCAATTCCCTGGGATGTGTTTGGGGCAATCTCTTTTCCTTCTATCTGGCGCTCTAGGTTTGAATTCATCTACYTGGTGAACAGCTGTTTTATCAACTGGGATTTGGAAATGTATTATGCTACCAAGGACATGCCAGCCAAAGCCAGAAGCACCAGCCTCAACGATCAGCTTGGCCAGGTTGAATACATCTTCTCAGACAAGACTGGCACCTTGACGCAGAATATCCTGAGTTTCAAGAAATGCTGCATCAACGGGAAAATCTAYGGTAACTTTAGCTGGAAGCCAGTTTGTAGGGACTGGAGTGAGGTAGACCTTGCTTTTAGGCCACGTGGCTAAGTGCAGGGCACTTGGGTTATTTCTACTTCTGGCTTGCTAGGAGGATGGGAGCGTGTAGGTTATCTATGTGACAAGCTGGTCATTAATCTGATGCTTAGGCAGAAGATAGGGCAAGAATTCAGCTTGTTCTTAGCTGTGCATTTAGAGAATTTTTTGTTTGTTTCCTAGAGGGGAAAGAGGGGGAGAAAAGAGAAAAAAGAAAAAAAAAAAAAAAGGAAAATTGCAATTGAACAGTTTTGTTGAAAGGAACAAAACTTTATTTCATTTTTTTTTCTCCTCAAGTTCAATGCAGAGCAGCAGGGCCGAGAGGGGAAGAAAGAGTGTGTACAAGCTTCCTTTTTAGCTTCTTTCTGGTCACCTGCAGCTCTTCTGAGATGTGTCAGAAAACATCAAACAGCCTCTTCCCGCGAGGCTACAGCCTCTCATCTTAAAGATGGACTATGGAGGAGGCCAAGAAATTACACCGTGCCCTTTGTTGTTCCTTCTTCGTGGTGAAGACAAGAAACACTCTTGTTGTTGTTTTTCTGCTTGTATTTCCCCTTAGGAATCTGAGAATTGGCAACTCTTTCTTCCTGTCCTCTACTTGGTGGTGTTGACTGGCTTTGGGGATCTGTCTCGATGCTTAATTAGTGAACTTTAGAGAGCAGGTAGGGCCAGAGGTTTATCATGAAGCTAGTTTTTTTTTTTTCTGACATTTATCCGGTACTTGAGTCAAATGGACAGTGATAAAAGCAAACAAGGAGGGAAAAATCTAGAAAAGCTTTAGGGAAGGCTTAAAACCAAATTCTTCCACTCTGATCTGTCATGGTGGCACGTTAGCGTTGTCTGTGTTAGCAGCATTGTCATAATCCTGCCGATCTTCAGCCAGCTTGACAGTATCCCTGGAAACGCAGATGAAAGGTGGACCTCAGTTTTTATCATTGAAGACATATAGAAAATATGAAAGGTTCCTGAGCCAGTAAAATGCTTGTCCTTCACAAAGAAGCAAATAAATGGCCCAAACCCATTGACTTTCCCTCCACAAGGTGACCTCGAGTGTCCTGGTAGCCCTTGGACTGTTCTGTCTCTGTATCCATAAGGCACAGCCTCAGCAAGGACCAAGACTCCCCAGATTCTGAGGTATTAGGGAGAAATGGGACTGTGTAGCTAACCTAGAGACTGTGCTATTTAATTAAAGCCAACTTTTGAAAAAGTGAACAGTGATTTTGAGGAACCAGGTCAAAGTTGGACATCTTAATGGAGCCTGGCTCATGAGGGACAAATGCTGAAATTATGCCCCTTTACACATGCCTCTTTGGCCAGCAAAAGAAGCAGGTMCTTCTAGAAAACTTAGTCAAAGCTCCCTGCTAGTAATATGCCCTGATAGATCTAAATTAATTGAATTATTTTTATTTTGGCAGGTGTGGGCGCAGGCCAGGAGAACAGCCAGCCATYGGTGTGTACCTTCCCTCACAGGCCCACCTAACACAGGCTTGGAAGCTGATTCGCAGTGGTGGCAAATCCATAAAAACTCTTGATTCTGAGGGGAGCAGCATCAGCCTTTTGCTTTGTAGCATGTCTGTCTTGCACTTTGGGTACCACCCTRTGAGGAAAAGGCACACAATTCCTTGGGGTGGAGAACCAGGTKTTTCTACAATGCAAGAGAATAAAAGGTTATAAAATAGAAGAGAAATAAGGTTATAAAATACCACAGTTATTATTTTTCCAGGCTTTTTATACTCGCCCCATTGACACAGGCAATGGAGAGCAAGGTTTAKGGACCTTGGTCCTGATCTCCTCATGCTGACGTGAATCAAGAGCAAGTCCACCAGGGTTCCACCCTAGGAAAGGGGGGCACACTCAGAACTGCAGACCTTTCTATGGGTGCCAGATGAAGTGGTTCAGACAAACATGAACATTGGTACCTGGGGTCTCTCGCTCCAGGGTTTGACCCTGGGTTGCTTGGGGCAGCTCTGAAGCAGTCCCAGCATGGGGTCAACATGCCATCTAATTGCTCTACAAGAGCGTAGGAAAGTCCCTGTTATAGAGTTCTAGCAGGCATCACGTTTGTTTTTTTTTGGGTTCCAACAGCCTCTCTTCACCTTTTGCAGGGCTCAGAGTGGCCCTGGAGCCACAGTGCAGAGAAGAAGCTGGAGTTTTATGACCCTGAGCTGCTGAAAGCCGTCCAGCTGGACACAGAYCCTGTGCTGAGGGAGTTCCTGAGGCTGTTGGCCCTCTGCCACACCGTCATGGTGGAGGAGAACAACCGTGAGTGYTGGCTCTGTGTTCCCACTGCTGTGCTCTCATCAGGGAGCAGCTCCCTGGACAGCTCATGGACCTCTCATGGATTTTCCACTTCCCAGAAAAGCTCCAGTGGGAGCACGTCCCTGCTAGGGAGAGCAGGTGGCATGAGAGCCCAAGGACACACATGTCAGCGTCCTAGCAATAGCTGCTGGCCCTAATATGTGCATTTGGGTTTGTTTTAAAAGCAATTAGATGGAGAAAGTAATTAGTTGGGGAACACAGAGGAGCACTTATTCTGCTCAGGGTGATGAGAAGAAAACTTTGGACCGAGTTTCCACAGCCGTTGGACTTTAGGGTCATCACAGGAGGTGTTTGTGGTGGGCATGGGGAATCTTAGATGCATAAGGGGTTCTTGGCTGCAGTGGGAATGTCCTTGCCTGCCCCATCCCACGCTCTGCTGCTTTTCTGCAGACCGGCTGGTTTATCAGGCAGCCTCACCCGACGAAGAAGCGCTGGTGCTGGCGGCCAGGAACCTGGGGTATGTCTTTCTGGCCCGAACACAAGACACTATCACCATCAGTGAGCTGGGGGTGAAGAGGACGTACCAAGTGCTGGCCATGCTGGACTTCAACAGTGATCGCAAGAGGATGTCCATCCTGGGTGAGCGGGATGGGGTGTCCCAGGGACCCCTTTCAGGACCAYGGAGGGTCCCTCCTGATCTTAGTCCTGCCAGAGATGGCAATGGGAGGGGTGCAGTTGATTACTACTGGCACAGGGACTTCTAAGAATTGTCCTGGTCATCTTTGTGGTTCTGCCTGCCACTGGTATGGTAAAGATGGTCAGGAAGTGTTTGCCCCACATAGAAGGGGGGATATAAAGCAAGTTTGAGGAGCTGTGTAAGGAACTGACCATCCATGCGGCCATGACCCATCCACATTATGGTGTTTGGAGATGAGAGGTGAGGTGACCTGTGGGATCTCCTATAGCCAGTCTCTGCTGGACATCAGGTATCCCCTCTGAGGTGTCCTCCACTGTACAGATGGGTTGATGGGTTAGGAGTGCCTCCTCAACTCCTAAATTCCTGCTGCTGTGACGGCTATGGTTGGGAGGCTGATCTCTGTGTGCCTGAGCCCTATCCTTCTCCTYGTAGTGCGAGACCCTGAGGGGACAATCCGGCTCTACACTAAGGGGGCTGACACGGTGATCCTGGAGAGACTGCACAGGCGGGRACCCCATGAGACCATCACTGAGGTGGCACTGGATGTGAGTCTTGTACCAGACTGGGGTGTGAAGGACTGGTCTCCTTCCTATGAGCTTTGGGATGGATGTCCTGCAACTGCTGCAGCTTCTTCCCCTCTGGCTTATGGATTTCTGTCTGTATTTCATCCTTCTACTGTAGGAGCCTTATCACCGTGAAGGGTGGAGTTAAGAGGGTATCAAATCCATCCGCAGTCCTCTGGATTGGCTGTTTGCATCCCTGGGCTAGTAATGGGTGGGATGATGTAGGGTGGGGGGAAGTGACAGCCCCAAGGAGACCCTCAAATCCTGGGGAGTCTCTTGTTCCGCCTCTGAGAGCATTGCAGCTGCTTAGCACCATGCCTGTGTCCAACATGGCCAAAAGAAAGGAGACGTGATGTCTTGTCTCCACAGCACTTTGCCGCGGAGACCTTGAGGACTTTATGTGTGGCCAGCAAGGTGGTGAGCGAAGCTGACTACAGCACGTGGAGCAGGAAGTACCATGAGGCCAGTGTCCTGCTGCAGGATCGTGCACAGGAGCTTGACAAGCTCTATGAGGAGATGGAGCAGAACTTGCAGGTGGGATGATGACGGAGTCTGTGTAGGTTCCTGCTGGTTCCATGGAGGGCAGGAGTGTTGGGTTCRTTTTCCCAGGGTGCAATCATCTGCAGGGATGATCTTGTCATGTTCTGGTAGAGCTAGAGATCTGTCAAATGATGACCTGTGGGAACGCCCACAGGAAGGTGTTGGAGTCCGCAGGGACGCAGCATCCTCATGTGGATGAAAGAGCAATTCCTCATCCTATCTTACCCCTGACATCCTGCCCCATGTGGTGACACTGACTCACCCTCCTTGCAGCTGCTTGGGGCCACTGCCATTGAAGACAAGCTACAAGACGGAGTCCCAGAGACCATCCAACTGCTGAAACTGGGCAACATTAAAGTGTGGGTGCTGACAGGAGATAAACAAGGTCAGTGGAGGTAGCCCCAGGTCCCACCAGCACATTCTGGATTTTCTCYAATACAAGTCATAGAAGAGAGGAAACCCTGGGAGAGAAGGGACAGCAAAGAGGCTCTGCTGGTGCTTTCCATGTATGACAGTAGCACATCCTCCGGATCATGTCACCTATGGGGAAACTGAAGCCATTTGCACGATGGCATAGAGCAGGAGCTAGAGCAAAATCCTCAGCTCCTGCAGTCCACCCTAGGACTGTTCTTCCCCTCTCAGAGCAGGACCAGGGGCTGTCCGGGCATTGGCCTCTGATACATGCGTGTTGCAGAGACCGCCATGAACATTGGCTATGCGTGCAAGTTGCTCACAGATGACATGGAGATCCTGGAGGAGAAGGAGATAAGGTGAGAAATTGCCACCTGGGAGATCCAAGACAATCTCCCATTAGACAGGGAAGAAGGTTACTCCTACTGAAGGAGACATCCGAGGGCATTTGCCACTTTGAGGTGGCAGAAGCCATCAGTAGGTGCATGATGTCCAGTGTCCCCAGCATGCTTCCTTGGCTCTGACCACCTTTTACCCACACAGTGAAATCCTCGAGGCTTACTGGGTGAGCAACAACAACCTGAGTGGCACTGGGGATGCTCTGTGTAGTGGCCACCTCTTCCAGCAGTGCCCAGAGGTCTCACACTGTAAGAAGAGAGCTCTCGTCATCCATGGAGACTTCCTGGTAAGGCAGCACTTTGCTGCACCCTTCTCTGCTCTCTGCCCGTGCTGGCAAGTGACTGTTTGTCTCCAGGATGGATGTGCTCTGGTGCTATCAGTTTGGATATTGGTGCCATGCTAGAATCAACATCCCTTGGAGCAATCTACAGTCACCTTTTCATAGCATCTATTAGATTTAGGAGTTGGCAGTCCCTGTATTACAAAATCCCTGACGGTCTTGGAAAAATACAGACCCTACATGTTACAATCCTCCTGCCTTGTCCAAGATTGCAGAAGGAATGCTTTGGAGTTAAGAACAGCCCCATTCCTCCTTGTGAGCCAGGGGCATGTGACAACCTCCTCTTGTCTTTCACAGTCATAGAATCATTATGGTTGGAAAAGACCTTTAAGATCATGAAAACCCATCACCACTAAGGCTAGCTATGGGGGGAATCACTAACCAGAAATGTGCTCTCTCCTAAGGACAAAATCCTGCACACAGGAGAAGTGGTGAAGAAGGCAGCAGAGCGGATGGGACAGCGGTCAGCTTGCTTCAAGCCAACAGGCTTGCTGGAACAAGACAGCCTGATGCAGAGGGCATTTGTGGACTTGGCCACGAGCTGCCAGGCTGTCATCTGCTGCAGGGTGACCCCCAAGCAGAAGTCGCTCATCGTGCAGCTGGTGAAGAAACACAAGAACGCCATCACGCTGGCCATTGGAGATGGTGCCAATGATGTCAACATGATCAAAAGTGAGGTTTGGGGCAGGGGGTGGTGCCAGCACAGGTTTCTGGYGGGCAGGCTGTGCTATTAGCACTGCCAACCATGCCTGTCTGCCTGGCTTGTCACTCCCTAGGCCATGCCCTTTTGCTTCTCTCCTTCGCCCTTCACTCCTGGATTCACCATCTGCCCATCAGCTTTGGGGCAGAGCCTCTCCGGTAGCAATGGGGAAGCCAAACACTGCAAGGGCTTCTCTGAAATCCCCTCACCTTCATCTCGTGTCCTCCCTCCATCCGCAGCTGCTGACATCGGGGTGGGCATCAGCGGGCTGGAGGGCGTGCAGGCCGTGCAGTGCAGTGACTATGCGCTGGCTCAGTTCCGCTACCTCCAGCGCCTCCTGCTTGTCCACGGCCGCTGGGCTTACCTCCGCATCTGCAAGTTCCTCCGCTACTTCTTCTACAAGACCTTCGCTGGCCTCATGGCCCAGGTCTGGTTCGCGTTCCACAATGGATTCACRGCTCAGGTAAGGGCACGGAGCAGGGGACACGATCATGCCACTSGTCTCCTCCACACACCATCACTGTGGCCTCTTCACAGGGGACCCCACACASGTCTCAGCCCGGCACTGGTAGCCCCATGGGGATGTGTCATTACCCTGGTATCCCTTATCTCTCCCCAGAAATAGACCATCTGAGTTTTGGGATGGCTTGGCCAAGACTCAGCAGGGTCTTTTGTTTTTGCATTTGTCCCCTGGTTCCTTCTGTAGTTAAATGAGAAAAACACATTGGGGAGCCTTGGGGACGTCCTTGTAGGCACTGACAGCCTTCATGAGCAGCAGCTCAGCCTCAGGCAGAGGCAGAGAAGGATCCCAGCTGCATTAAGCTGGAATTTCACAAATAATGGGAGGTTTAACCCGGTGTGAAGACCTTCAGTGTGCYTTGATCATTGTAATGTAATTGGTCAATGTAATGTAAATGTGATATGGCTCCACGTCTCCCTGGGTGTCATCTTTGGGTCCTTCCAAAGCTTTACTGAGCTCACAGCCACTTTCTTTTCCCTTTTAGCCTTTGTATGAGGGCTGGTTCCTTGCGCTCTATAACATGTTCTACACCACCTACCCTGTGCTCTCCATGGGCCTTCTGGAGCAGGTATCGTTTCAGCAGGAAGCTGGATACTAAGTGTGTATATTTAGTGTGGTCACTGCACCTTGTCCCCATCTGTGTGGCACTCCACGTACTGCCATGACCTGACAGTAGGTGTGTGATGGACACCTGGGGCTCAGCTCCATCAGGTGGATGGAGGTCAGACTTGTTGCCCACAGAAGGCACAGCTGAGGGGATGGTACACYGTCCCTGGTGTGGATGGGGATGGTGCAGTGTCCCTGGTGTGGATGGGAAGGTCAACACTTAAGTGTCCTCCCTCCCTGCAGGATGTAAGTGCCAAGAAGAGTCTGGAGTTCCCTGAACTTTATGTGATTGGGCAGCGAGACGAGCTCTTCAACTACCGTACCTTTGCTGTGACCCTCCTGCACGGCGTCAGCACCTCACTTGCCAGCTTCTACATTGCGCTCTGGGCCTTTGAGGACAGAGTTGGCAGCAACGTTGCTGGGGACTATGAGTCCTTTGCCGTCACTGTTGCCACATCAGCTTTTCTTTCAGTGATCATGGAGGTAAACACGGGTCTAGGTTACCCTACGCCGTCCCACGAGATAAGCCCTTGATGGCAGAGCCAAGATGGCACTGAAGGCTGCAAGAAAGGACAATGGCTTAAAGGCTGTCCTGGTTCAAACCACACRCAGGGTGGTAGAACAGAGTTGGACCCTTAGACCCATATCCATCCTATGCAAGCTCTCTCCTCCTTGCAAGACGGAGCTCATCGTGCCCAGCCTCTGGCGCTCAGGGTAGTGATGTTACAGGAGTTTGGGAATGGAGGGTATAGATGGGCTCTGCTGTGGTGAGTGCTGCACCAGCCTCCTACCTCCCTGCCAGGGCTTGGTGCAGATGTTCAGGGATCACACTTGAGCTCAGCCCTGGGCACTCCAACGTGATCCACAGCCAGCTTCATTGTTGGATGATGATCCACATTGGGGGATGAACTTGGGACTCTCTTGAGGGATGAGTGGTCAAGTGGAACTGCGTCCCCTCAGTCTTGAGAGAGCTCTGTTTAACTCTTCTGTTGCCTGCACAGATCATCATGTACACAAAGTTCTGGACTGCATTGTCCTTCCTGATGGTCACAGCCAGCGTGCTATTCTTCTGTCTCTTCTCCTTCCTGACCCAAAACTTCAATGCCTTCAGATTAGCCCCTGCTGTCTTCCGCTTCCCAGGTAARATGCCCCAGGGAACTCTGCAGACTCTCGCCTCCTTGTAACAAGGCAGCCAAGGCTATTTTCGGTGCTAGAAGAATCTGTTTTCCACCCTGTAGATCATATTTGCTCTTTGACCTTGGCCAGATCCTRTCTTTTGGTCCAGTACAGCCTATCTGATCATCCTGTCCCTTATGCTAGTCCTCACCTTCTCTACATGCCTGGGGACTCTGCTAGGGGACAGACATGCCACGTCTTGATCTTGTTGGCTTAATCCTGATCTCAACTCCACCTTGAGTGCCATCTCCTCCTTTTGACTCCTCAACACCTTTGTGGGCCAGGGCCTACATCCTTACAGTTCTTCTTTCCCTCTCCTCTTTGCTGGGCACCTTTTCCTGCTTACGTATGACTTGATGACTCTTGCATTGACAGATGCCAGCAAGAATGCCCTGACYGACCCGTATGTTCTGCTGATTGTCCTGCTCTCCTTGGTGGTGAACACTGTCCCCTCACTCACCATCCGCTTCTACCGTACTGTCATGGGCAAAACCACCATTCAGCAGGTGAGGGCTGCTTAGGGGTTGTGAAGGGAAGGCTCTGCCTTCCTCCCATTGCTTGCCTCCTCATCCTCCTGCTTGCCTTAGGGACAGAGAGGATGTTCACTCTCGATGGGAATGGTGAGACTGTCYAAGCAAGCCACCACCTGAACGTAGCAATAGGCCTTGACCCCTCTCTTGGCTGTTGTAGCTCTGTAGGTCCCTGATCTTGTGACACTGGCCCCAGGGGTTGACCTGCTCCAGTCCTGGATGACTTGCTTTTGGTTGCAGGAAGAAATTGTCCTCCCCTGGAGCTGGCAGCAAGGAGGCCCTGGGCTCTGGTGCAGGTGCCTGTATGAAATGGGCTGGTCCTGTTCATGCCCCTCCACCCAGTGGGACATTGCAGACACATGGGAACTTCTGTTTCCCTGAGCTGCAAATGTTCTCATCTCAGTGAGATGAGCCCCTGATTTTATCATACAAAGAGGTTCCAGACRAGATCAGGATTGAGACTCCCATCTCCAAGAACTTCCAAGATCCCCAAGAAGCTCCTCATGTTATAGATCACATCCCAAGGACTTGGGGCCATGGTGGAACTGGGATCCCAACTTTGTCTTGGTGGAGGCTGCCCCTCCTCGAGGCAGGGACTTACCTGGAAGGTGRCTGCACCCCAATGTCCCCAATCTCTCCGCAGAAGATCCACTTGAAGACGAAGCGGCAGCCGGAGCCCTCGGTGGAGCTGCGCGCTCACATCCGYCGCGGCTCCTTTCGTCGCCGTTCCGGTTATGCCTTCTCCCACCAGGAAGGCTATGCAGGTCTCATCACCCGGGGGGACAGCCTGCGTGTGAAGGGTGCCTGCAGCCCTATCTCGAGTGCCCTTCGCCAAGAAGAAGCCTCCGCTTCATCCTCCCTCCATGTGGCCTCTGCATAACTGGCCTGGTGGCTTCCCAACGGCCCCTGCTTTGGGGCAGGGAGTTGCTGTGCTTGGACACCATGAGGCACAAGACTGGCTGGACATTTACAGACGCTTATTTTACCTTCCTGGACTTTTTTGGACAGCTGAAGAAGCTCGTGGTCACCTGTCTCTTGAGAGGGCAACACTTGTGCCAGACMGCACAGCATTGCAGCCATAGGCACTGGAGAGATGGGTGCTCCAGYCCCAAGGATGGTTGCTACCAGATGCTAAGCTGTGGGACATGTCCYAGCACTGGAGGACATGTCCTGGTAGCCAGTCCTGGAAAGGCTTGAGCTCTTGAGGGTGGTGCACAGAGCCTGTCACCATTGCAGAAGTCAATGGAAATTGGCTGCTCCCAGCCAGGGCAGCTTGAAGATCTAAGATTGTTTCTTCCTTGACACTGGTTGCTCCCTGCACCCAAAAGGTCAATCTGGAGCAGATAACTAAGTGCCTGACCTTCACGGAATTACAGAATGTTTAAGGTTGGAAGGGACCTCTAGAGATCTAGTCCAACCTTCCTGCTCAAGCAGGGACACCTAGAGCACGACAGGGACACCTAGACCTTGATTTTCTTTTTAAATTTATTTTTTAATATGTGTAAGTACAGGTCATATCTAGCCACCAGCCCTGCCACCTGCTTCCTCCCCCTGTCTTCCTTCATCAGTGTTTCTCATCCTGCTCTTTACGTCCTTTGGCCGCTTTGCCRCAGGGGATCTCTCTGGGTCATCCATCATCCCCCTAACTCGGCCATGAGCAGTGGGAGCTTCATGGGAACAGGTCTTGGGAGCGAATCCGCTCACCATGGGGGAAGAACCCTGCTTGGGTGAGGAGGTTTGGGCCAGATGTTCTACAAACATCTCTTCTAACCTCAACCATGCTGTGATAGAGAGGGGGAGAGAAAGGGGACGTGGCTTAATACACTTTAGTGCACGTTTTGCACTCTTAATACACTACATCGCATTTTATCACCATTGTTTTTAAATATATCCTCTTTTCTGAAGTGGATTCCCAAGTGCATTAACTGTTTTTCTGTCCTCTCCCAGTCCTGTTGGGTTTTGTTGGTTTGTAGGCAAGGTCTGGGTTAAGAGATAAAGAGAAGGTGCTGTCCGAGCAGGAAGAGGGGTTGGGATAAGACAAATTTTAGTGATTTGGATTCTCTGGCCAAGACCTCAGTCCCTCATCTCAACCTCCCCTCCTCCTTCCCAAGCAGCGCGTGGGAGAACAGGTAGGAGACAGGAGACAACTCAGCCCCATGTTTTGCTGCTGAAGGGCAGTGAAACTGCACAAACCTCCCCGGGCAGGCATGAAAATTCCCCGTGGTGCAAATTATTAAAAGCAATCACTATTTCAGAGCCCAGCTTGTTTTGGCAGCTGGAAAAATCTTCCAAGCAAGGGTACTTTGCAGGTACCCCCATAGCTCCACATGTAGGTGATAGGAGATATGATGCTCCTATGGTATGTAGGGGATATATATAAAGTCTGCCTGTATAATATGCACATCCCCAGGCWGATGGGGGCTGCCCTAAATTAATCTGCAATCCCAGCTTTTCAAAGCAGGACTGATGTTTTCCACGGAGGGGAAACCTAGAAGTCCTTCCCGCCTGCAGGGCAGCGGGACGGGAGCCCCCAGGGAGGCGGCCAGCGCGTAGGACACACACACTCGCCAGGGTGAATGACTAGAAAATAATTTATTGAAGAAACAGAAAGCTGCAGAAACGTACAACACAGTCATGACCAGTAGAGGATGAACAAATAGAGTTTTTTTGTGTTTTTTTTTTTTCTTTTAAAATCTGTTGACAGGCTGGAGTTGAGATTCCTGGTAACTTCCCCTGCGAAAGTCATTGCAAAGAACAAGGACTGAACTCCAGAGCACACAGCACGATTTGGATAAAGTGCCTGACACATAAAGACTTTTTAATCTTTTTTTTTTCTTTTTTAACTGTTTGTAAATAGCTTAAACATAATTGCAAGACACGGAGGAGTAACAATTGCATTTTGCTGTAGAGTAAAACCTATCCCATGAGATTAGCAATGAAGCAGCTGCAAAAAAAAAAAAAAATTAAAAATAAAAAATAAATTTAATCAGAAAGAGAAAAAAAAAGTCATTTAAAATCTCAGATCCATCCCTGGCCAGCCGGACTATGCAGGACAAGGGTGAGAATTGCCTATTGCTATACAGGAGAATGAGCGATATTTTTCTTGAGCTGGTTGGACTGGCAAACCCCCCGCTAAGGGTTCTTTTGGGCCAGGATTAATTCTGGGGTTTTTTTTTCTTTTTTTTTTTTTTTCTTCTTTATAAATTTCAGAGAAAAAAAAAAAAAAAAAGAATGGGCTTTTTTATTTGCTTTTTTAAAATTGCTTTATTTAAAAACCCCAAAGAAAGAGCTAGGTAAAGGCGCTGGCTTCTGCGTGGCAGCGTGCGTGCGGCCAGCGTGCTGCTTGGCTCTCAGAGCATCCTTGGCCGCGTGTGTCCTATGAGACAAGGGAAAGGAGCGGTGCTGAGGCTGGTGGACACGGACCTGGCCCATAGAGGTGGACAGGAATGTGGATGTGGACATGGACATGGTGCAGCCCAGCCTGAGCAGCGCTGGCTGAGCCCACACACCTCTCTGCAGTGCCCAAAGCACCAACCTGAGTTAAGGAGATCCATGGTGAGCCAGAGAGGAGCTGATCTTCTCTCTTCCCCACGCAAAACTTGCTCTGTTGTAAAACCACCCAGCCCGTGCTGGGGCTGCCAGGGCTGCTGCAGACCCCAGGCCTCAAAACACTTGGGARATCATCCCGTGATGCCAAGACTCATCTCAGAGGATGGGTGAGCTGTCAGGCGATCCGGTTCTGCCCCTATGGACGGGGTTGCTCCATCACCCTCTCTCTTTCCTCTGCCCAGAGCTGGGAGCATCCATGGGCTTCTGCCTTGATCCTTYCTATCCCTGCCCTGTGCCTGGTTTAGCATGAAGAAACGCAAGACCCTGGTCACGACGTCAAGGTCGTGTCAAGGGAGACGCGGAGTGATAAACGCTCCGCTCTGGATGTGTTCTAATGGAGCAATGCTGCCTGACATCCAGATTCTGATCCCCAGGCTCTTTCCTTGAGCCATTTATTATTTCTGCTCTTCCTGTGTGGCTGAAAATGGTGCTTTCCTGTTAAATSTATATATATATATTTAATAAGCACAAAAGCCATCAACTAAAACCGTTGAACAAATTTGAAAAAAAAAGAAAGAATTAAAGCTAGAATCAGATTGTTTAGGAGACTTTTGCAAGCAGCAAAATGGTAAACGTGTCTGAAAAAAATCCACAATTGAAAAATGATGCCAGGGCTGGATTAAACTAGCAGGTCTCCCACAGGGATCTATCCCACTTGTCTCAGTGGGAGACCTCCAAGTTGGACTGGAGAGCTCAGGTTCCTCCTCTCTCACTCTCCATCAGCAACTGGGCAGCCCATTTGCAAGCTCTTTGCTCTCCACCCATCCGTATCTGGCAGGAACGATGCTCAACCTCTTCTGCAGGTCTCCCAGGGCATAACTTATCCCTGGATCAGCCTCTTCTGTTTGGAGGAGCCTTTCTGAGCGGGATGGCTCCCTGGTGAAGGGGACGGCCTGTTGGTTGAGCCCACGCCATGCCCCTGTGTGGTCCCAGCTGTGCTCCTGCTCCCTCCTAGTACGAAAATGCCCTTCAGTTGCAACCCTGATCAAGAGAATTGTGTGTAGGACAGAGCTCCGATTGTCATTACCTGCAGGGAAAAAAATCTTTGGTATCGTGGCAAGTTGCTCCTCGAGGCATTTTGGTAGCTGTGAGGGCGGCAGGTACAGCTGGGTCCTGCACAAGGCTTCCCAAGCCTTTTGATTCATGCAACGTGGTGGAAACCAGCTCATGTCCGGGAAGTCCRAGGGCTTGTGGCTGTGGGTTGCATCCAAGCCTGCTTGGTGAGATGTTCCTCTTGTTGCAAACAGGCTCTCTGAAAGGTCTAAACCTCCAAGCACCAAAACTTCTCCTGGTTGGAAAGATCTYACAGGAGGAGGTGGGACAGAAAGAAGGATCCAGATCTCCTTGGGATATCCAAGGGATAGGGTTGGTTAGTAGATCAATGGGGCTGCTGGAGGAGACCACAGAGATAATGTCCTCCTAAAATCCAGGTTCTTGTTCAAAGAACATCATGTCTCCTGTGCCCACCTGGTATTGAGTATTTCGGTTACTGCTGCCCATGAGGAAGGTGAAGCCTGCAGAGCCACCATGTGAGATGAGAGATGAAAATAAACCCCTGTTTTGAATTTGGGGGCCGCTTTGGTGGGACCCAATGAAGCTGAGATCTCATCTTGTGCAGCTGGATGAGGTTTGGGGCCACATCTAGCAATGGAGGTGGAGAATAGAGTGGTCAACAGGTCAGAGGGAGATTAGGGATCCACATTTTAAAGCAAATTGTCTTTAACATTGGGGAAGCAGAAAGCTGCAGTTGACACTTCTTCCTCCAGGTGCCCATCACCTCCCTGCCCTGCACCCAGCCAAAAAAGGTGCAGCTAAGCCCTTAGTTTTACTCTCCTCACATCTTTAAGCAAGGAGAGGAAGAAGTGGAGCAGAGGGAAGAAGGAGCAGGGCATAGAGTCCACCTCTGTGAACATTTAGGGAGAGCCCCAGGGCTCTACAGGGCAAACAAGGGACCTCCCACACCCTTCAAAGCACTTCTGGTGGGCTAGTGGCCTCCAGAACCTTTTCTACTAGCCTAGGTGCAGGGCTAGAGCAAGGCTGGGTGGTGAGCAAAAGACTTCCGTGAGCAGACACCATTTGCTGGCTGATGTCATTGATGCTACATGAGCCCTGGTGGAGGAGACCCACCAAAATGGGAATCTCCTGGTCACACCTGGCGTTGGTCAGCGGYGACACTGCACCAGCTGCAGCTGCTTCAGCTCCTCTTTGCTTTTCACGAGGTGGAAAAGAGAGGCAGGTCTTTGAGGCCACCTGAAGGATGAAGACTTGGTGCCCATGTTGCCTCGGCATCTCGGAAAGATCTCAGCCCTCACACCCACAGTTGGACTTGTTGATCCTGAAGGTCTTCTCCAACCATAACGACTGTACAATTCTATGATCCTTTGGGCTCTGATGGCCAACAAGAGGTGAGGATGGAGGTGGTTTGGGGGCGCACCAGGACCATTTCCCTTGTCTCAGAGCACAGGAGGAGCCCCCGGCCGGGGCTCCGCGGGGCGCTGGGGCTGATTGTCTCTCTTCCTTCCGCACAAAGTCACTTGTGACGTGACACCTCCGTGGACAAGCAGAAAGCAAAGAACCCCAAGCAAGGGAGGGCGCTGGAGCCCACGGGGTCTCTTTGGTGAGCAGGAGCACCCGGCGGGGTCCCGGGCCCCGATACCCTTACCCTGTTTGCCGGGCACGGGGCCGCGCCGCGGGCCCCTGGGCCCCGTCTCTGTGCTCCGAGCGCCCCTCTTCTCCAGCCTCCTGGGGCTTGCGGCGGCAGGAGCGGCGCGGAACGGGAGGAAACAGGCAAAGCCGCCAACCGAACGGAAAAGCAAAACCAAGAGCTCGCCCGGGACCGAGGGGCTTGCAAACGTGACCCATGCAGAGAAGTCCTCATCAAACGCAAACCTGTGGACAAAAAAGCACAGTTTGTCCCCTCCCACCCGCCTCCCCTCCCCGAATAATTATTACATTACTTCAAGAAAGAGTATATTTTTCTTCATGCATAAATCAAATTTTCATCTTGTCTTTTTTTTTGTCTTTTTTTAAACTTCTTTAAATTACATTTGAACACAGAACACATATAATAAATACTCTTGTACGACATGACTCAGAGAAAAGTAACACATCTGAAAGCAAAGGTATCATCATCGTTATTAGTTTTTCTTTTTTTTTCTTTTTTTTTTTAAAAGGACTTGTTTAAATATGAAATCTGTAAACTCCAAGGGTCCTTTTTTTTTTTTAATCTTTCTCTCTCTCTTTCTCTCTCTCTTACTCTCTTTTTTTTTATCGTGAAACTATCCAGCTTTCATTTCCTTAACATTCAATATGTCTCCCATTGAACGCATCAAAGAAATAAGAACATGCCGTCTTCTGCAAAATTATAATTTAACAGTATAAAGCTTCAAGTCACAAATTCCAAAAACTAGCTAAGTAATTTTTTTTTTTATCACATAAACTATACATTAAATATTTTGAGGTATTTCAGAGAACATTGTCAAAGGCTTGTAAGGTCTGTGCTGGGTGGAAACGAAGGCTTTCTCCTGCATAGAGAACGTCTTTGGTATCACAAGTCGTGTGGGTGGTGGGGAGGAGGAGGGTGGCACGGCCAGGGGGTCGCWCGGGACCCGGCCAAGGCAATAAGGTGGAAGAGGAAGAGGAGGGAAGACGGGGGCCAGGCTGGGGAGGTGTTTTGGGGATGGTCCAACTGCTCTTTCGGGCAATAATGTGGGAAGCTCCTTGGGATCCAGGCTGAGCACAGGGAAAACATGGGCAGGTTTGGTGTGATTCCAAGGGAGCTGCTTCCCTTGGGTTGCCACGGGAAGACCTGGTTGGATGGAGCAGCACGTTCAGGAGYGCGTTGAGGCACCTGCTTGTGCTTCACTTCAATTTGAGGCTCTCGGAGACTGGGCGTCTGCATAGGGACCATCGCCTGAACCGGGCTCTGCTCCCAGCCCGCTGGGAAGGGACCTCTTGGCTCCAGGGATCTGCAGTATCCAGGTCCTAAATACAGGCAGGAAAAGGAACAGGAGGTCCCCAAAGCTKGTGCGACACCCACGCTCGCTCTGTGCCAAGGTGAGGAAAATGGTTCAGCTCAAACCTTTCTTCTTCTATGAGCAGGGACAGGAGTTGCCCCAACTGCACCAGACCCAAGTGTTGGGTTGCTGTCGGAATAACATAACTTGGAAAAAAAGGAAGATAAAATCAAAAGGAAAAAGAAGCCAAGTAGGTACAATTCAACCCAAGATTTCCCTAAATTAGACATTCTGGGGGTTTATGTGCAAGAGCATCTGCCATTACCTTTTTCACTTGGAACAAACATGTAATTCAGGGCAGTTCTTGAAGCTTCTCGTGAAATGAAAACAATGTGGGAAAGAATCCGTTTGAGCTGAAACAACCTCTGACCAGTAACATGACCAAACTGGAAACCCTGGGACCTTCCTGGTGGCATTTGGTATCTGCTGTTGGGGCCTGGAGAGTGCTCTCAGCCTGGGCTTGATGCTGTCGTGCAGCCTCTCACTCAATGGGCCAAAAATCACCCCATGAGGAGCATCAAAGAAGTTCCCTTCCACGTCCCTGTAGCGATGCCCTGTGAGAAGGGACGTTACCACGGATTGAGATCCAAGGTGGATGCTCCTGGGGAAAAGCCAGGCTGGACAGAGGGGCTGGTCAGAGGGACCCTGGGGACCAGAGCAGCTTTGAGGGCACCAGGAGGACCAAGAGGAGGAGCACACCGGGAGGAAGGGGAGATGCTAWCAATTATTTTAGGATAAGGGGTATTTTTTTGTTGTTTTTCTCCATCCCAACACCCAAAGACTACAAGAGTTGCCAGAATCCATCCGTTTGGAGAGCTGAGGTAATCGTGAGTCTTTAGGGTAAAAGCAGAGGAGCAAAGAAATGGCCACACACCTTTGGTACAAGAAAAAGGCACTCATCTACCACGCTACCATCCCGGGGTCGCTCGCTCGCCTTCTCTCTCGCGCTCACTCGCGGGGACTCAACGGGGCTGCAAGGAGGGGGATCCGGACGGGGGTGGCCCCACGCGGGGCYGGGGGAGCAGGGAAAGTGGCGCTCCCAGCACAGACCAGACAAGGCAACAAAATCTTTGGTATCAGACGTGATTTTCAAATCACAAAAATTGAAAACTCAAGTGAGGTAGCCTTTATTTTTGGGTTCTCACTAGAAATGTCTTTGCATCCTTGAGGGC